GGTTTATGGAACAGACGAAAGAGTTCAGAGAAATTCAGTCGTTGCAAGCAAAATATACCTTCGTATAAATGTAGTTCCTAATAACACATTACGTTCTGGAATATTTATTGACAATTCGTGCAAGTCGAGAAAATAATATCGATACATTTTTGTTGTATGTTTTCTACAGTAAAATTAGCCAATCAAACTCACATTCACGATTAAATTAAAATAAATTCGTATTGGTTAAATCTGTGGAAATGTTTCATTGACAGATGATTACAAAATAGTGAGAAGGTTATGCTTAGTGTTCGGATCTGTAATTTTGCCTGATTTACATTGATCTGGAACATGGTCGTCTGTCACAAGAGAAGGAATAACTCTGAGAAACGAAATTTGAGGTTCTCACATCGATGAAGATATCAATGGCGGTTGTCATGTCATGAAGTGTGCGTAAGGTTTTGCATCAGCAGATAACATATGTTGAAAATCAATCATGGGGGGGGGGATAAATAAATAAATTCATAAGAAATTATATCAGACGTAATCAAATGGCCTGTTTTATCCCCTGGAAAATCTGTGACAGAGAAATTAATTTTTAAATGTTACTATTTATTGTGAATGTAGCGAAGCCAGTAGTAACTATTGGCTTCGTACGAAGGAGGAATGAGGTAGTACGTCCCTTCCAAGGCACAAGCCTCGTTGCAGCATTGACCCGTATTCAGGCGCAAGACTTAATTGGTATTTGCTAACAGAATAACCACTGAGAAAGTGTTAATTATTTCTCAGTTGTGGTTCACAACGGTTTCGTCGTGTCTCAGCAGAGGCCAGCCGAGGCTCTCGAGAGAGTTCAGATGATGGTAAAGGTGTGATCAAAGAGACAGGAATGTTTATACTTCCGATTAAATTGCGGTCTTGGTGTGTACAGCAACAGACTCCTTGCTCATATCTGGAGGTTGAACTTACTTCATCACACGACGAAACATTATGTCACTTACAGTTCAAGTTAATTTCGTTGTTACTGAAGTAAGCACGTTAAGCTTTCTTGGTGGTGTTAGGGGCCTGTGCTGCCATGTGGACTGAAGGTGGGTACCAACACACTGCCACAATTTTCAGCCCTGAAGATGGTGGTCGTATATTTCTCCGAAACGTTGATGCTCATCTGCAAGTCCACACTGCTTCACAATCCAGAACATCATCATCAACATTTTAATTGCTGTGAGACTTTCAAATTTTATTACTAGTCCTAGGCCAGAATTTTTGATTCTGCGTTTTGTATCGAAGCTTCTGTTATTTGTTTCAGTCTTTCATTACCGCTGACACAAATGCGTGCCACTGGACCCTTAAGTAAGATAGATGAATGCTATTTATACCCTCAGATCTACCCACCAAGATCTGCCAAGTGGTTTCTTCTCCGGAGACTTTCAATTTGCCATCCCTTCCATGCGTGCCACATGCCACGTCCGTCTCATTCTCCTTGATCTGATCGCCCTAATTTTATTTGTTGAACATTACAAGTTATGAGGCTCTTCATTATACTCCATTCTCCATCTTCCTCAAACATCTGTTTCTGAGGTCCAGACACACTCGTAAACCTAACCTAACCCAACCCAACCTAACCTAACCTAACCTAACATAACATAACCTAACCTAACCAAACATAACCTAACCTAACCTAACCTAACCTAACCTAACCAAACCAAACCTAACCTAACCTAACCTAACCTAACCCAACCTAACCTAACCTAAATTTCATAGTAGACAGGCTCTTGCATTTATTTTCACTGTCAAGAGCTCAAGAACTGAAAGGTCGTAATTATATTCTGGTATTATATTTATTGACTTTATTTTGTGTTTCAGGTAAGTGCTGACGTTGTGAGGAACTTGTTCCTGCCCCAAATTTTGAACAGACGCGTGAGTAATTAAAAATCATGTTTTATGATCAATAGCTTAGAGGAAAGTACTCGATCGTCACATTTAAATAATTCTAATTCAAATTTATGAACTGATATTAACTGACTGATTAGTCGACATTTCAAAAAAAAAATAACAGCAATGTTTGCAGAGTTACATTATAGTGTAATTTTCACTTCTCTTAATAATTTCGCTTACAAACTGGAAGCTTCGCGTGTGCTTTGCAGTTTACACATCTTCCAGTTAGTAGTTCCACATTGAAGTCATCCTTAAATTGATTTTCGTAATGAATTGGGTGGTGACTTGCAGATGAAACCACCTGCTTAAAATATACACCGACTTCACGATCTGGGGTCTTGTAGAACCAATAGCTGCTCACCTGGTCTCTTTCCTTGAATATTTTCGTACTAAAACTTTGTATTCATTATATAATTATCTCCAAAGTTCTCGTCAATACCCTGTTCTCATACACCCTCAAAATATCATAGAATTATCATTTGTTAGTATGAAATGTTGGTTAAAAACTGTCATTCCAGTCCATCGCTTTTAATCATATTTTTCTCAGAACAGTTTTAATATTATCAACACAAACATTAAGCCCTCTGACGCAAAGAATCTTTAAAAAAAAATAATGCTTGACTCAAATGAATAAGAGAGGTTTTGGAATCCAGTGAGACAAAATTCAACTTTCCACCCAAACCATGGCTACGGGGTTTTTTCTGACGCTGTAAAATTTCTGTCAGTCTTTTGGGTTGTTTTAAACGCCCTCAGTGCCAAAGGTTCAGTCGCTATATTTTAAATGTATGTTAGTAATCCTGACAAGCGCAGAAACCATTTAGTTAGGCACAGTATTAAACTGCTGTGCACGGTGGGTTGCCTCTGTCCAGGCGATACAGGCGTATCCCCTGGCAACCGTACTGCAGAAAGATTTTGAAGCTCTGTTAAAAGTGTTTTCAGACAACGAAAGAGACCCTTTTACATCAGCTACGGTCATTTATTTGTCCTGGGTAAAGGGCATGATGGCATTGTGAAATCATTACAGTTTTACATGAAATATAAAGGTAAGCGAGACTTAGATATCCGGCTTTATGTCACCATGGTGATAGGAGCTCCTTCCTGCAAGCGACTAATGATTAAAAACAGAAGCTTTATGCAGATTTGTGTCAGAGATCTGTTCAAAGGCTAGATTTCATGAGATTTAGAATTAATACTTAAAGAAGTTCGTATTCTGAAGTTCTAAGGAAAATATCTCTGAATTCGATGAACGAGAGAAGCATTGTGATGTTAAAAGACACATAACGAGGAACTTCGTACTTGTTGCGTTTCACCAATATTATTACGGTGATAAAATGCGGGGAAGCCGACAAGTAACACGCACGGTGTCTACAAGACGTCACGTGGTACACGGACCCAGATGTTTTGTGAGGATGTGACAGGATCAGGACAGCGATCAATGACCGGATTTCGTGAACACGTTAATGAACTTTCGGGTACCAGAAGAGCGAGGAATAATGAGTAGGAGCTATACCACCTCACCCCTCAAGTGCCTAAATGGCGTATAGTGGGACAGTTTTTTTTTTACTGAGTAAGACGAAAACGTCAAAGACGGTACAGTAATTTATTAATTGGCAATGTATGTTTTGTTTTAATTGAATCTTCCGTTTTGCTGTGTCGGTCCAGTAACACTCGTAGCTTATAGTAATCGATGTGCACTTTTTTTTTTACAATTACAGTGAAATTATAAGAGCCGTTAGTGATGTGCATATTCATATGTTTTCATATTTCGGTAATGAAATGGATTATTAAAATTGATGTCCGCTATGCAGTAATTGGGTCAACTGTAAACAGTTTGAAACACGAAATTGAATCTGGGCTGGAGGGACGTATTCAGTACGCTGTGCATGCAATATACCATTGGATGAAAAAAAGAAAAGGTTTATGAACTGAAGACTTGCGCCCGGTTTAATGAGCACGAAGCTGTTCCCTACAATTGCTTCAGTCTGTATGAAGAATCTAGGTAGAACTAGCTATAATGTAATAATTATTATAGTTATTAATTATAATTATACAGCTAATACGAAAACAATATTTCATGTAGACTATGTAGGCGTCTCCGTACAAATTTCGACGTAAAATACGGAAAATAAGCTTAAAAATAGTTGCTTATTTAAAATATACACTGCCGTGAGACAAGTTATATGGACATATGCTGTTAGTGGTTTCAAACACTGGGCCTGTACTCCATAATGCCCTAAAATGGATTTATTTTCCTCTGGCGTAGTGGAATGTGTCTAGTGCATACGTTTGTGAATAAGCTGATTCTCAAACCTTTTCATATGGATATATGAATCTTGACTTTAGTGTCTGGAGAATTTAGTATGGAATGTTTCACTTTTCCACATAATTTATCACACTTCTTCTCATTCCGGGTTAGGGTAGGGGTGTTATTAAGTTATGATTTCGAAACTAATCTTCCTGTCTTGTCGGACTACCCACGTAACGTCTAACTCTTGGTGTTGACTAGATGTAGGTCTGGGGTATTCTTTATCTTAAATGCCATCCCACAGAACGTCTTGATGAACTCTGATTACGAGGGGGATGCAGAAAAATTGGCAGTGACATTGTTCGAGTAGTGTCCCGGGAATTCGCCAGAAGTCAGCGGCGACCACCGCTGATAATTTCTTCGGTTAGGCGGTTTTTAAGGCGGGTCTCGAACCGGACAAGGAACAAAGCGAATTTTGACTCCGACGGTAGAATGTCGCTGTATATTGGTCAGCGCTGTAGTGTGCATTGTATTTTGGACACCCTGGGTTCAAATCTCGGTGCGTGTTCCAACTATTCTAACGCAATTTCTGTGATTGTATCCTACACCTTAATGCTAAGAACGCCTAGCATCTTTAATGGACTTTCACCCGAGTTCGTCGTCCAATCTGACGTTTTCTTAGACTCTCTATGGCCTGCGCAGTCTACAGAGTCTTGTTACGTAACGAGGTAAACCGGGTGAGATGACCTCTAGGCGGAAGGAAGCCGGGAGAGATTCTGTTTTACACTTCTCCTTTCGCGGAGGTAAATTGCCTTGTTTGCGTTTGTGCTTAAGAGTTCTCGTCTTCGTACATGCGTTTCTCTCTGGTTTTAAAGAAGCGGACGTTTTTATTGTGCAAAGCGCGGCCGTGGAAAGGAGAAGAAGAACAAACACTGCCACCAGGTAACAAAAAGAAGGCTGTCTTTGTAAACTCATGCCTTTCGCTTTGAGCTCGCTAATGATTAGTTTTGTTAGGAGATTCTGTCGTACTTAGAGGAGCCTATAGCAGCAAATTGCTCAAACGCTTTATTTATTGACTGCTTAAACACACAGGCAAGTGAGGCTCGCACTCTTTCTTCTCCTACATATCTTCGTAATTTTCTCGAGGCACCTCAGTCCACGCACCGGCCGGACGGTGTCTGACTGGGACCGGGCAGGGATGCAGCAGGAACCAATTGCTCGCTGGACGCATGGCGATTGGGTGTGGGAATTAATTGACACGGGAATTATCTGATTGCATTAATTGAGGTATGAATGCGTGAGACTTATTCATGGGGAAAGCGAATGGAAAATTGTAAAATTAATCGTATTTACAGTTTCTGACTAAATACTTAATAATTTGCGGATGTTTTTGAAACGATAACTGTCAACACTTCGATTTATTCTGAACTGGTAGTACGAAGGATTTTTTGTAGGATTTGAGGTTTTCATGACGGCGAGTCTGAAGATGGCTGTCTTCTGGGTTGTTGCGCCGTGTAGTCTGGTAGAAGTTTACCGA